TTATCAGAAAAAATCAGGAGTTGGCATACCAGGTTGAGATTGGGCTTGGTTGACAGAACGTTGTATATGGGCCCCAAGCCAACTGCCTGCAAGAAAAAAGAGATGAAAGTATCATTTATGATTTATATGGGATGCATGCACAACACCTCAGGCATCAACATAATGACATGGTCATGAGACAGCATAAAGGGCAGTTGGTGGCAAAAGGGGAAAAAAAATGCCTGTAATTTTGTTCTAAAAAATGCTTCAGAACGGACCCCTCCACAGTGAATGACTTTGCAGAACTATCACTTTTATTTGGTGGCTGGTTTTACCTCAAAATGTACATTTCCACGAGACTTTTTAAGGAGGCTGGTACTTTCCTTTAACATTTAGCAGAAGTTTCATTTTGGGGGTTCTTATATTTACATAATTCTTTGAAATACCTATGCGAATTATTCACTGGCCTGTAATGTAACCTGATGGCCAGCCATGATCTACTGGTAGGCAAAAATGATTGAGCACAGTCAAAAAGATACCTGTATAGGATGTGCCTCGCTTTTTATACTTTTAATCAGTATACAAACTGACTGGAGTCAGACTTGGAACAACCGCCTGATGCACTTTCAAGTGTTCGCACATACCTTTTGAGTAGTGTTGGTCATGCACTTTAGGGCTGATGTGCGTCTGTCATCATAGAAAGGTGGCTTATCCGTTGGGTCATAGTTGGTTTGAACGAGAAACCATTTGCCATTCTTTGGATCCAACCTACCCACAAGAAAGTCACCATTAATTAAAATTGTGATCCAAGCTGATCCCAAAGTCAAAACGAAATTTGCTTGTTGTCAGGTGTAGGTTTTGGATTTGGGGTTGGGTTTCGGATCTAGAGTTTGGAATTTTTAACATTCCAGAATTACACCTTTAAGGGTCATGATCTTCCGATTGCATCAAAATACGTGTAGACCAATCCAGTAAGCCCCATCCACTGCCCCGGGTGGGCTCTTAAAGCATGCTCTTCTCTTGTATTTGGCTTGCCTCCTGATTACGGGAATGATGTTTAACTATCAAAGCATTAATTCAGCATACCAAACAGCAAGGCACATGTTGCAGGCTCAAAGCATGGCATCTGACATTATAATTGGCAGCTTTTTCAGGGAAGGGTGTGTGTACATAAGCTCCTGAGTGGTTGAGGGAAGTTGGTGTGATAGTGGCATTGCTATTTGGTTTCACCTCATGAGCAAGTCAACAAGCATATGATCATATGCTGGTTAACTTGCTCATGCACTACTCATATGGTGTTCCGTGCATGTGCATGTACAGTGTATATATTAGTTGAAGAGACATGCTGGCTTTTTGATGATGCAGGAGCTACAGCCCCAGTCTAGTTTCGATACTGTTGTGCATCGTATATGCTGGCATTGCTGATGTGGAATGATCTTGTGACAAATCAGTGTTTAGGGCTTCCGAGCAGAATTCCAAGGTGTCATTTGCAGTTTTAGGCAATGTACACGTAGAGGAGCAAAACAGTGTCAGCCCTTTTTGTAAAAGCACAGATGGCCTCCACAACCTGAACTTCGCTGAAGATTCTAAGGTGGAAAGATGTTTTTAATCAGTACTTACATGTATCTTCCTCAACAGTGGGCTAATTTCAATATCGAGAGAATCACAGAATTCTAGTTCAGCATCAGCGGACATGTTCATTATATTTATGCAACATCTGCATTAATCACAAGATTTGCATATTTGCAAGATCTGCATTGATGCTTGAGATCAAGGGGATATCTTGGTTGCAGATGATACAAAGGGTAATGACAATGAACTTACTCTTCAACGTAAGCTGGCTTCTCTCTGTCGATGACGATAATAGAACCTTCACCTGTCTTTGTGCCTCCTAATATAATGTAGGCTGGGGCCATAAGCTTGGCATTTACCACCCTGGTTTTAGTGGTTGCATAACTGCAGTTGGAAAGCAAATAATACATTCACTTACATGTATGACCAGTGTGTTCTAAACATAATTGGATTCTTTTTCAAAAAAGGATGACAGCAGGTATTACTAAGCAACACTAATTACATGAGGCTTGGTCTCATAATACCCCTTAAAATTAGAGTACAAAGGATGTGCTGACAGTTTGCTGCATAATGAAGGGCTTGGTAAGGCACAAAATGGATAATGTACACGTACATGTACACAGAGCAAGGCTTTTGCCACCTTGCCCTTGCCATGAACAGGGTAAACTTTACAGTACAGTAGGTTTCAAATCATGAATCGACCTGGAAGATACATGTACCAGAAGTCTACATATATATATGTAGTGCACAGCCTGAAAGTGAAAAATGCTGTGCTTATTTTGCATATCTGACCATGGTACAAACAACATGAACTAGTTCTGTCTCTCAGTCCCATTTAAAAGGTTAATCAAAAACAGAATGGAGGGTGTTTTGCTCGCATTTCTAACAAATACGTCTGCGGGGACACTGGAAAATTTGGCCCTAAATAAAAGAACAAAATTAAAAAGGCCGATGAGTAGATGTGACTGGTCCAGATGGTTCTGATTTCATTTTTAAGAATGATTATTTCGAAATTGCAGTGAAAGCCAGCGCACATACATGCACATGCACAGCGTTCGGCACCTGTATTTGCACAAATATGCACAAGTGTTCAACACCTACACACATACAGTCTCACCAGAAAAGAAAAACAAACTTTTAAACTAACCAACCCTAACACCAATCCCAGCAGCAATTCCAACTCCATCCCCCAATCGTGAACCCTAATACAATCCATCCCCCAAACCCGAACCCTAAA